TCTCTCTCTCTGCCTCTCCTCTCTCTCTGTGACTCTGACTCTCAAGTAAAAAATATATTAATCTTAAAAAAAGAAAGAGCTTAGGAATCATATAAGATGGGAGTGGAAATGAGCATCTGTGACTGTGTGTGTGTGTGTGTGTGAGAGAGAGAGAGAGAGAGAGAGAGAGAGAGGGAGAGGGAGGGAGGGAGGGAGAGGGAGAGAGAACCTCTGTATTTACTTAACTTTGTATTACACTCAGAAGAACTCCCATGAGCTAGGTGTTGCTGCATTGTCTGTGTACGTAAATTCTGAAATTTTCAAGACAACTAAAGAAACCAAACCACACAAAACAAAAATTATGCTTGAAAACCCTGATTCTCATTGTACTTTCCTCGCTAAGTTGGGTGAAGATCTTGTTATTTTATTTGAACATCAAATGAAATAGCTGGTGGTTGGCTGTTTAGCAGAACCTGGCCGTACCAATTTTATACTTGTAATTTTTTAAGATGTGGGGTTCTATCCCAGCAAAGCAAAGAGCTTGGGTTGTGAGAGTCATGAAGAGACAGAGCACAGTCCAGACCACAGCACAGATCCTACAGGGCAGAGGCAGAAAGACTCACTTGTGAACTGTAATTTTTCACTCGGTCACTGGTACATAGTACTTTGCAAGTAAGTGTTAACTGTTCTTCAACAGTTATTCAACTGACAGTATTCCTGGCTATTTGCAAATAGGTATGGGATTGTTTGCACTTGGTTATGATATTATCTGAAGATGTATGAGGAAGTCAATCTTTTTGCAAAGTATATTGATTCCCAGTGTTGCCATGTATGAGGTGTGATCTTGGGCCAATTACTCAACATTTCTGTGCCTTAGTCTCACCATTTGTTAAAAGGGGATACTGGCAGCACCTCCTTCACAGCGCAGCATGGTAATGAGGATTCAATAGATCAGGTTAGTTGATAACTGCTAACTCAGAAAAATGCTGTGCCTAGGAAACATACCTAAGTGTTCAACGAAAGAAAAGGAGACTGTTGTTTGGGAGATGCAAGGGAGTAGAAAAATTCTCAAAATAGAAAGGACCTTCCTAAACTCTCCAAGGCAAATCTTCAGTGGCAGTAACTAGAGCAGCTCATCTGGAAGCTGAGGGTCTGATCTGTGGGCTGCTTTAGGGGACAGCTCCTTACTGGCCCATGCAGCCAGTGAATGGCTGACCATCTGATTAGATGTTGTCAGGATGTCAGCAGACAATTGCTCTGTGTCCCTGCTTATTAGCAAACGAAAGTGGGGCTGGTAATAAAAGCTGTAACCTTGTTATAGGTCTGCTGTGGTCTGAATATGGTGAAATTTAATCAACTCCTGCTGGAATTTGAGCCCTGTAATGAGATTATTAAGAGGTGGGACCAGGCAGGACCTTTGAGGAGTGATTAGGGCTCTGCCCTTATGACTGGATTAATCCATTTGTGTTGGGAGTAGATTGTGGATAATGGGTGTTCTGAGAGGGCTCTCTGCTGTGGAAGCTGATTGGGCTGGCTGGCTCTCTCACTCCCTGTCTCTCCCCATGTGTGTTCTCTGCTGCTTCAGGGTGCTGCCAGCAGGAGGGCTGTGACCAGATGCCAGCCCTTTGACCCTGGACCAGAACTGTGAGCCCAAATAGACCTCTTTTCTTTATGATGTGCGATCCCTGGTGTTTAGTTATAAACAGTAGCAAAGAGACTAAGATAGGACATCAGTTTCCTCACTCATAAAGGAGTCTTTTTCAGAGGCTAAATGAAAAAGCAAATTAAATGGCATCTGGAGGAGGGTCTAGCACATGCCTGGGCACAAGGGCCACTTTCCAAGGAAAAGGAGCCCTTAAACTCAAGCTTTTAAAAATCACATAATGCTGTTAAAAAAAAAAAAAAAAAAAAAAAAAAAAAACCTTAGTGATCTGGAAGTTGGCCAGTATGGAAGGTTTAAGGCAAATAGATCAGATCTGGAAAGTCCATCAATCATGAGTCTGTATTAGAGTGAGATTACATTCTAGCTATCAAAATGATGCTTCAGATGACAACATAATAATGAACGCTTGGTACTTGTGTGTCTAGTTCTGACAGTACCTTTTCTTTTTTTTTTTAATTTTTTTTTTTTTTGACAGGCAGAGTGGACAGTGAGAGAGAGAGACAGAGAGAAAGTTCTTCCTTTGCCGTTGGTTCACCCTCCAATGGCCGCCGCAGCTGACACGCTGCGGCCGGCGCACCACGCTGATTCAAAGGCAGGAGCCAGGTGCTTCTCCTGGTCTCCCATGGGGTGCAGGGCCCAAGCACTTGGGCCATCCTCCACTGCACTCCCTGGCCACAGCAGAAAGCTGGCCTGGAAGAGGGGCAACCGGGACAGAATCCGGCACCCCAACCGGGACTAGAACCCGGTGTGCCGGCGCCGCAAGGCAGAGGATTAGCCTAGTGAGCCGCGGCGCTGGCCAGAACCTTTTCTTAATGTGGCTGTATTGCGTATATTTATGTAGAATCTATTCATTTACCCATGCACCTGTTGATGCTAAACCAGCCCGGCAGCAAAGACTGGTGAACTGATGTCACTGTTGCCTGTGGCGCTGAGTGATCTCTCCAAGCCAAGCATGATTCTCAGAAAAAGGGCTATAGGTCAGACACTGGATTAAGCCCTCTGACTGTATTTTCACATGCTGGAAAGGTTTCAGCTACCTGAAGCATTTTGGCAGCCCTGGCAATAAACCCTATTTTGATATCTGTTGGAGAACAATAGGTATCAGTGTGAAAGTTCTGGTTTTATACTGAGGTAGGTAGGGAGGCAGTCAGCAAGAGGAGCTGAGATTGCCAGCACCTCACCTGTGCTGTAGCCTCACCTGCACTGCCCAAACCCAGCCTTTGCAGGTATCTTCTCAAACATGCTCTTTCTGCACCGTGGAATAAATATAGCTTCTGTGATTTTACCACTTAAAGCCAATATCAGCTAAAGATATTCAATATGACTGCCAGAGTCATCCTTGGAATGACATTTAGTTCATTATAAGGTCACTGTAATAAAATTACCATAGCTGACACTCCAGCTCCCATCATATACTTGAGGTCATGATACTTCCCAGGTTTTCATAAGAGGACCAAGAAGGCTGGTGCCGCAGCTCACTAGGCTAATCCTCCACCTCGGTGCTGGCACCCTGGGTTCTAGTCCCAGTCAGGGCACCGGATTCTGTCCTGGTTGCTCCTCTTCCAGGCTAGCTCTCTGTTGTGGCCCGGGAAGGCAGTGGAGGATGGACCAAGTGCTTGAGCCCTGCATCCGCATGGGAGACCAGGAGGAAGCACCTGGCTCCTGGCTTTGGATTGGCACAGTGCGGCGGCCGTAGCAGCCATGCGGGGTGAACCAATGGAATGAAGACCTTTCTCTCTGTCTCTCTCTCTCTCTCACTGTCTAACTCTGCCTGTAAAAAAAAGAAAAAACAAAACAAAACAGGAAACAGGTGGTACTGAAACCCCTTCCAACCCCACTACTTTTGAATATTTGACTAAGCCTCACCTTGGGCACCACTCTCTGTGCCTCCAGATTATTAAGGGGCAGCCCTGAAGCTTGTTGAGCGCAGCCCTTTCTTGAGCTTGCCTGTACCCCCTCCTGAACATACACTTTCACTTTGCATGTAAATAAATCCTGCTGCTTTGCTGACCTTTGCGTGTTATCTTCTCATCCTTCAGTTTCCTCTTGCATTGAAGACAGGAATCTGGACCCAGCCAGACCCACAACATTACTGCCTTAGTTTGCTAGGGCTGCCATAACTAAGTGCTACAGACAGGGCAGCTTAAGTGATAGAACTTTATTTCTTCACAGGTACGGAGACCTGAAGTCCAAGGCCAAGTTGTGGGCAGGGTTTGTTCCTTCTGAGACCTCTGTCCTTGGCTTGTACATGCTTGTCTTCTCTCTGGGTCCTCACCCAGTCATCCCTCTGTGTCCTGACCTGTTCTTCTTAGAAGAAGACCAGTCCTCTTGGCTTGGGGCCCACCACATGACTTCGGTAACCTTAATTGTTTCTTTAAAGGCCTATTCTCCAAAGACACATTTTGAGATACTGGGGTTGGGTCTTCAGTGTGGGAATTTTTTGGGAAAGGGACCCAGTTCAGCCTGTCACACTGGCTGAAAGATAAAATTGAGACCTGGAGATGTTAAATAAGAGTCACTGAATTGTAGAAGTCTAGACTTTTTATATTTGAGGAACGTAAAGCCCAGAGACAATAAAAGATGGCTTGAGGTCACATCCTTAGTAATTGGGACTCACAACTTCCCTTCTTCCCTCTCTCCCTTCTTCCCTGCTGTCCTTCATCCTCAGAAGAAGAGTTGAGTGAGTAACCTCTCACTGCCCTTTCACCTGCTACCTCTATGTATTTGACCATTTACTTATTTTCTCAGGCTCAGTTTCTCCACATCTAAGACAGGAACTATCCTTACCTCCAAGAGTTGTTGAGGATTAGAATAAGATAATGCAGATAGGCTAGGCCTGGCACACACGTGTTCAGAGAAATGTTCTCCTTTCTCATCAGTTTGTTTATATGGTTATTAATGAATGCTGTCATGGATCCATCCTTCCCCCTGGCAACCCGTCAGCAGATGTGTCCTGCAGACAAGTGTGTGGCGCATGCCACCAAAAGCTGTGACTGAGTTCACATTGATTTGGGAGACACTGACTTATTCATAGCTAGTGCTAATAGACCTTAGAAATGCTGGGAAGGAATGTTGGCTTGGGCTTCCCATGGAGGCCCCCTGGAGGGCAGAATTTCTCAATGTGTTGTGTAGAAAGGGTTTTCTGCAATAGGCGAGGCACAATAAGGGTGCCTGGAATGACTAGGACTGGGGTGGGGGGTTGGGAGGATATTTGTGCAGACTGCTGCTTCCAGCTACAGGGTGGTATGCTCTTCTCTGATCCCGTCATCACTGGGACATGGACACATGACTCCCCGCGCCCCCGTGACTTTCTCTTGGACGGTAGCCTGGAAAAGGGAAGCAGTGGACTTACACCCACCTCATCTCCTCTGAGTCCTGTCCCCAGGGCAAACTGCTGATTCCTCTCCAGGAAGCGGATTTTCACGTTGTAGACTTTGTTCCCATAAAATACCACCAAAACATAGGGCTCCTCCTTGGATTTCGTGGAACAGTCTCGGACCAAAAAAGTACCGTCCTGAGGCAAAGAAGCACATGGTCATCTTCTCAGGCACGCCAGCAGCCTGCCCCTGCAATGGTGGCAACCATGATGTTCACGTGCGTGAAATACCCACGTGAGTTCAGTTTTTGGCAAACCTGCAATTTATTTAGTTTAACTCAGTGAGTTTTTATTGAGTATCTGTTTATGTATGAGTTCTTGTTGTTTTCTGGGATGTGTACCAAGAGGGGAATGATGCTACGTTCTTCCAAATCTTCCATCATCCTTTACTGACCTCAGTTTAATGCCTACAACCTTGGCATGGCATCCGTGGAGAAGTGTGCCAGCCTGACTTGTGGTCTGACTTCTCATTGCTCCTACAACCTCCTGCTTCTGGCTCTAACCAAGCCATCATGTCCTGAAGGCACTATGTCTGTATGGAAAAGCCCTCCTCCAGCCCCTCCCTTGTGCGCTTCCCTTCAGCTGTCAATCTTCCTACATTACCTATTCTGCCTGATGCCCAGCTATTATTCTAGAAATAGTGAAGCCACCATATGCCTTGAGGATAATAAGATTTTAACCTAGTAAATTGGTCTTCATGCAGAGATATGTCCATTAGGACCCGAGTTCCTCAAAGAGGCATGGGATTTCAAAGTCACTGATACAAACATTAGTGGAGAGTCCTTATGAGGGAGGAGCAAATATAGCTGGGTTGAGGCAGAGGCAGGTGTGGGACTAGGGGTAGGAGTTGGGGGAAGAATGTGAAATGTCTGAGAGATGAAGGAAGCCGGAGCTTCAGTGTTCCAGAAGCCATAGGGTGGAGACCTATGGCTTCCCGAAGGCCAGTGGTGTCACAGCTGAGATAGAAACAATTAGACACCCTTCACCTTAGAGACAGTTCAGGGTGAAGGCCCGCAGGGCAAGGGCTGAGAAATGCAGCAGTCCCGCTGGCATGAATACACTTGAAAGGCTTAGCTTTGTGGTTGCCTTGTGTCATTTGTATAAATTAAGTTACCAAAAAATCTGTGACTGTTATTGTATAGGCTCTTGTGTAGATGGGTGTAGATGATGTGTAAAGCATAGATATTATGTATAAGGAGTTATATTTTAATCATCGTTCCATGTAATTTGTGTAGATTATATGTTATCTATCCATATATAGGCATAGAGGATAAATGACATCTATAGTTATATATAATTAATAATTATAGATCTTACAGACATATATATATATAGTGGTCATCATAGAATGTCATACTACATAATACTAAAATCTAATGCAGTACTGTGATGATGTTAGCACTTCATCTGATTTTTACGTAAACTTTGAATGAGGGAGGTGTTTTATCTCCATTGTATAGCTAAAGGACATAGGGTCCAAAAGCTTCAGTGAGTTCCCTGGATCATCACAGTAAGTAAATGGAATTCCTACAGATCAAACCCAAATTCTTACTCTTTGGCCACACTAGCCCCTGAGTGTGTCATGTGGGATTGAGGAATTTTGGGCATTTATACTGCCTAAAATATTCCCCCATGACAGAAGCCTTAACACAGAAGCAAAGAACCTTGCCAAAGATCAGAAGAGGGAGGAAGCTAAGACCAGGGGCCAATCTGGGAGTTTATTATCTTAAATTCTGGAGTGAATTTGTCAGCATGAATCTGGCAGTCCTTCAATGTAAATTTTGTCTCATAGACAGGAAATGTGTTTCGACAAAACTGAGACAAGTAAAAAAGGGAAATATGAAAAGTCATTCAATGGAGACTTTGCTGTCCTAGTATTTCCTGGGAAGAGGCAGAAGCAGGCACAGAGAGGGAAGAAGGAAGCGTTACTGAGTGCCCAAGGGTTCCTGAGGACATGGGGAGCAAGAATGCTGCTCTTCTAGCACAGTCAACATACAGGGTCCTGGGACGGGTCTGAGAGCAGTTGTTTCCTGATGAGAACAGGGTCTGTGAGTGCAGTGTTGCCCTGGGCTCTGGTAGCCAAGGGGAGCTGAGATTGAGGTCTCCACCTTAGCACTTGCCCTTCTAACCCAGCAAGGCCAGCCATAGCTGGATTTTGGGTGCAGAAGATGAGGAGCTCCTGGAGGTGAGGCCCTGACCAAATCACACATGGCTCCTATAGAGCTGCAGTGGCTCCCAGAGGCAGGCAGCTGTGAATTCATGAAAAGAGCATTGATCTTGAATTGGATTTTGTAACTTTCTTCACTTAGTGACCCAGGCCTTGGCTAAGCCTCAGTTTCCTCACTTAGGTACTGGGTAGTTCTATTGTCCCTGTGAACAATGAGTTTCCCATTGCTGCTATAGCAGATTGCCATGGACCTAGTGACCTTAAAACACAGCTTTGTTGCCTTACAGTTCTGGCAGTCAGGAATCCATTGTGGATCTCGTTGGACCAAAATCAAAAGGGTGACTTTGTTTTCATGCTTTTCTAGAGGTCACAGGAATTCCTGACTTGTGGCTCCTCCCTCCTTCCTCCACCAATCAATCTAGCCTTTCTTTCCCTTATCACCTCTCCTCTTTGTCTCTGACACTCCTGCTTTCTCTGCCATGGGCCCCTGTGATAATAATGAGCCCACGCACATAATCTGGGATAGTCTCTCCATCTAAACTTCCTTGATATAATTGCATCTGCAAAGCCTCTAGAAGCTTCTAGAAATTAGGATGTGGGCATCTTAGGGAGGAGCTTTATTCCATTTACTATAGCAATGTACAGTTTATTTATTTTATCTTATTATGCAACATGAACTCTGAGAATGGGGTTTTATTAAAATTTATTAGAGAACAATTTTTTTGTTTTGCCTATCCACTAATCAATTAACTCATGTTTGTGTTTCCTCATTCGACAGTGACCATTGCACTTGCTGTCTGAGTTGCATCAGTTAGTCAATGTTGTATCAGTCTTGAGAGACTTTCTGTCACTTCTAAGCAATCTGGTGTATTTCTCTGCACAATGCAGCAGCTTCTTAATGATTCATTATTTGAAATGATCGTTGTGGTAGTCATTTGACCTTATCACAAATACTCCAGTTCTTCTCTCCTTTTGGTCATATGAGAGGTCTGTACTTCCTCTCATCCTTTGAAGTTGTCTTGGTCATGTGACCGACTTTGGCCAATGATTTGTGAGCAGAGGTGAAGCATCAAGAACCAGCGTGTGATGGTAGAAGCACACCAGTGAGGTGGAGGCTCCATCAGCCTGTCTTGAACGTGGAGTGCAAGCAGGAAGTAAAGTTTTGTTATGCTCAATGACTGAGACCTTGGAGTTGTTACTGCAGCATAACCCATCCTATCCTGGCAGTTTCCTTTCCTGGGGAGGTGAGACACAAGGACTGACTGGACCCTGAGCAGGCCTTGGCTAAGAAGGTGACACTTGAAAGACACAGAGGAGGCCCTTTCCATTCTCATCTTGAGACCCTAGCTTCCACAGTAGATCCTCAAGAGTTCCATAGAGTTGATTTTTCTGTTGTTTACTTTATAGATAAAGAAACCTACCCGTAAAGTTCATTAGGAAGTTGAGAAACTCTTCACTTAAAAATTTCCTTTATCGGAGCTGGTGTTGTGGCACGGCGAGTTAAGCCTATGCTTGCAATGCTAGTGTCCCATATCAGAGTGTTTATTCGAGTCCTGGCTGCTCTGCTTTTGATCCAGCTTCCTGCCAATGCATCCTGGGAAGGCAGCAGAAGATGGCCCAAGTATAGGGACCCCTGCTGCTTGTGTGGGAGACCAGGATGGAGTTCTCGGTTTCTGGCTTTAGCCTGGTCCAGCCCTGGCCATTGCACTCAATTGGGGAGTGAACCAACAGATAGAAGATATCTCTCTCCCTCTCTTTCTCTCTGTCACTCTGCCTTTTAAATATATAAAATAAATCTTTTTTAAAAATTCCCTTTGTCATGACAGCTTCCCTAGCATTGAGAAACACAGGGTGAGGCAGAAACCACCGCACCAATGTATGCTGCTCACTCTGTCCTGTGGATCTATGAGCAGAGAACCCTGGGATGGCAATGGAAATGAGGACAGTGAGCCCCATGGGAGGTGTTACCTTATTCTCCTTCATTAATGCCTCTTCTACTACCCGGCGACCGTATTGTCCAATGTACCACTCGCTGTGCTGGATACCCTGCAGGATTGGTTCACAGATGAGAGTATTAGGGTCAAAGGAAAGTACTAATTATGAATTGATTCAGAATTTATTTTTGTTCCATCAGTGCTCAATCACAGATTATTTTATTGTAGATATCCAATTCACAGAATTTAATCTCAGAACCTGCAGAAGCCCACAGATGCTTGGGGGAGATGGGTACAGACAAACTAATTAGTTGATTAGAGTCTGGTCACTACTGGAAGGAACTGGAAGTTGTATTCCAGTTGAGAAAGGTCCTTTGGCCCCACCCTCTGAAGGAGAAACAAAGCCTCCACCTATCCCTGCTTTCTGAATTTGCACCTGCTCAGTCCTTGTGAGGTGGGATGCGTGTGGGTAGTGAAGCCTGGGCTGTCTGCGGCACCATCGAACAGCAGGGAGGGGCCGGTTTTGTGGGGCAGCAGGTTGAGCCACTGCCTGTGATGCTGCTGTCCTATATGAGCAGCGGATGCTGCATCTGATCCAGCGTCCTGCTAACAAGCCTGGGGAAGTAGCAAGTGCTTGGTCCCCTGACACCCACATGAAGCTGCTGACTCCTGAGTTTGGCCTGGCCCAGTTCAGGACTGTTGTAGCCATGTGGGGAGTGAATCAGTGGATGAAAGATCTTTCTCTCTCTCTGACTTTCAAATAAATAAATAAATATTTAAAAAAAAAAAAACCAAAAACAGCAGAAAGAGGAAAGCAGGGACAGAGTCCAAGCATCTTTGTGTCACTTGCCTGGAGTTGCTCAGGGCAGCGTTGGGATATGAACTCTAGTCTGTGTGCCATGTGTCCTATTTATATCAATGATGAATCACTTAAAGTTGTTTTGATTATACAATCCACTGTGGCAGGAAAAGTAGAGGGCAGTCAGAGAGATGCACCCTGAGCTCACAATTCCTTCCCAGGTTTCCAAGGATCACATTTTTTTTTTAAGCCATCCCTCTGCAAGGCCCTTTTTTGTTCAGGATCCCAATGCATCCCTATACCACTTCTGTGAGATGAGTGTGTCAGGTATTGTTAACCATACTGGAGACGGACAACAGAGGCTTAGGAAGAGGGACTCTGTTACATAATGAGCCAGCCAGTGATGATGGCATTGGCACTGGTCTCCCAATCAGAGCTTCTGATCCCTCCAGCACAAACCTGACCCATCCAGTGAGGGCTACATCAGTGAATGGGAGCTTTGTCTGTCTCAAATAAAAATTTTTAAAGCAATTTAAAAAGCATTTGGTGAAAAAGTAATATGTTGTATGCCAAAATACTTTAAAAATATTAAAAGCCAATGATACATAGCCAGAAAAGAACAAAGCAACGCCAATAACAAGAACTTCCTGTTGGTCTAAGCACATTTAGGAAGAGCTGGCAGCACAGTGTCTGCTGTACCTTATGATCAGGTGGCGTGGGACAGGGCCTTCTCCAGCCTGGGGGTTCGCAGGGCAGCTTGTTTTTATGGGGGCCGTAGCCAGCTGGAGACTGGCATCTCTGAGGGGAAGAGGACTGTGTGCTCCCTGTAGGATCTGGGAAGAGGAAGTTCACATTGAGGTATGATTTGGTTACTGATTCAGCCCATTTGACGCCCACCCAGGGTGAAAGCCTGCCCTCCCACCCTTCTCTGTGGGACTGTCATGGTGTCCCTGACAACACCCTACCCAGCCACCTCAGCCCCTCTGTGTTTCTTGCTTTGGTTTTTGCCTCGTCCCCCCTCTTTCCATCTGGCACTCAGAGAAATCTCCAGAAGATGTAATTCTAACTTCACTATTCCTTCTGTTCAAATTCTTTCCGTGACCTTCTTCCCAAGAATCTGAACATTTTCCTTCTGTCCACCATGCTCTGAATGGCCTGTCTCTTCTCACTTCTCAACCCTCATTGTTGTTCCTCCCCAGCCGTCCACTCTGTTCTGGTCATGACAGATATCTTCCATTTCTTAGATAACCCAGACCTGTCTCCAAGTCAGGAGATGCTTTCCTTAAAAACAGCAACAACAACAACAACAACCTGGAATATTTTTTGTAATGAAATATCACTTTTTTTAATCACTGAGAATGGCTGACAGACTATATTTTTGAGACTTATGTATGTGGTAAATATTTTGTTAAAAATGAAGAAACTGAGCCTCTCATCTCATGGCAAACAAGAAACAATATTTTTTCCCAGTTATACATTTAAGCATTAAGCTTTGCAAGTACAAATTGGAATTTGGGAAAGCTTATATCTGCCATTGTGACATAAGAGTATCCCAGTAGTTGAGTTTCTCTGATAAGAGTGTGAGTGTTCCTTGCAAATGTACTTACAAAAATATTACATTATATTACATAGATTAAACATTGGAAGATCATTTCTTATCTGTGAACCATTATTTTCCAAGTGACCAATGCATGATGCTACAAAATTATGCCTGGGTAAAAGATTAATTCAAATGCAGACAGACCAATTGATTATAAGGTTACAGAATAAAAGACATTCATCCACAGGGTTTTGATTTTACATGGCTCCCAAAATTTAAGCCACTGCCACTTGGCAAATACTGATGTAGTACTTTCTCCATTTACTGCAACTTAAACGCATATTTCCACTGCCTGTCCTTCCCATTGTAAAATAGGAATTATGTGAAATCCATACCAAGGACAGAGTGAGGTGTAAGGAGAAATACCAAGCAAAGACATTTGTAAATATGTTGGTAATTTTAAGCAAGGATTAACTTTAAAAAAAAAAAACTCATAAAGCCTTGGGAGAATAGAAGCAATATGCAAGTAAACATAGCTTGCCATACAAAAATAGCATATAAATTGAAGACAAATGACTGATGTGAAGTTAGAATTATGCACTTTGTTACCATAAATCAGTCTAAAAAAGAATAAATAAATTTACAGTTCTGGTCATAGTTTAACATGAACTTGGCAAGAATGTGGACTATTTTGGCAAATTTCTGAGATGAAATCCTAAAATAAAACATTTAGCAAATATTTCCATGCCAGTTTCTATAACATTTGGAGTGTATCTGTATTTATTCTGCTTCTTGTTATCAAAAAACCCAGTTTCTCTCTAATGACACAAAGAAGGACAAACAGTATTCCTGACATACTGAAGACTTTAGTTTAATGGCATTAATGAATGTGGCTCTTCATGTTGAGCCAAAGAGTATTTGTTATAAGAACTTACAAGCATCAAAATATTTGTTGCAGAAATATGTTTGAACACATAGTGTAAATTTATCACAGTCAACTAATTTCAGCACAGATTTATGACCATTATAACAGAAATAAAGGAGAGGTCATTTTTTTTTTTTTTGACAGGCAGAGTTAGACAGTGAGAGAGAGAGAGAGAGAGAGAGAGACAGAGAAAGGCCTTCCTTTTTCCTTTGGTTCACCCCCCAAGTGGCCGCTATGGCCGGCGTGTTGTGCCGATCCGAAGCCAGGAGCCAGGTGCTTCCCCGGTCTCCATGTGGGTGCAGGGCCCAAGTACTTGGGCCATCCTCCACTGCTTTCCCAGGCCACAGCAGAGAGCTGGACTGGAAGAGGAGCAACCGGGACAGAATCCAGCGCCTGAGGTGCCGGTGCTGCAGGTGCAGGCCTTGCTTCAATATTTAAAAAGTACTATTTGGAAAACAAAACAGCATTTGGAAACCGTTATGTATTTTTTGTCTATTCAGAGAATGAGTTAAATAAAATAAAACAAACACAAAACAATAACTTTGCCAAGAATTTTCCCCCAAAGGCCTGGTTGCATGCTTGTCAGTGATCGAAATTCTGAGCATGTAGCTCACTACAGGTACTTAACTGACTTTGTTCTAAAACAATGGATGCACCTAATCTTTGGACAATTCTTTTTACATAAAATAAGGCATTTGGGTTTTTTCTTGTTTTTGCTGAGAGGGACTCAATTTTATAATTTAAAAAATATTTTTAATTGATACAAAATAATTGTACATATTCATGGAATATGATGTGTTTTGTTACATGTATACATACGTGCATATAATACAAGGTAATCAGTACATACATCATCATCTCAAGCATCTATCATTTCTCTGTAGTGAGAACATTGGAAGTCTTCTAGCTGTTTTCAAATATACAACACATTGTTGTTAACTATAGTCTGTGCTGGGTACAGATCACTAGCACTTCCGCCTCCTGTCTAATTGTAACCTTGCACCATTGACCAACACCCCCCTCCCTCTTCTGTGCTACCCTCTGTAGGCTCTGCTAACCATTCTTCTGTTTTCTTCTTCTATGAGAACAACTTATTTAGATTCCATAAATGAGTGATATTGTGTGATATTTGTTTTTCTGGGCTTGGCTTCTTTTATTTAACCTACAGCTTTCTAGGTCATCCATGCTGTTGAAAAGGACAAGATTCCATTATCATATATGGCTGAGTAATAGTATATATACATCATGTTTAACACAGTAATTCATCAGTTGGTGGACAATTAGGCCGATTTAATATTTTGGGTGTTTTTTGAATAGTACTGGAATGAGCATGGGAGTGTGGATATCGCTTAGACATACTGTTTGCATTTTCTTCAGATATCCTTGTATACCAGTAGTAGGATTTCCAGATCACATGAGAATCTATTTTTAAGGTTTTTAGGAACTTCCATATTGTTCTGCATAATGGTTATAATAATTTACTGTCCTACCAAGAGTGTTTAAAAGATTCCTTTCCTCACATCCTTGCCAAAATGTGTTAACTTTTTTTTTCTGATAATAGTGATTCTAGCTGGGGTGCGATGAAATTGCATTGCTGCTTTCATATGCATTTCCTTGATGGATTAATGATGTTAAGCATTCCCATTTTAAGTGCTTAGCACAGGGCCTGATCCATGCTCGTTACTCCAAAAATGCTAGTTGTGGGTGTTGGTACGTTTATTGGAGAAACACAGCTTAGGCCTTTCTTTTGTAACTTAAAAAAAAAAAAATATTTACCTTATTTATTTGAAAGGCAGAGTTAACCGAAAGGGAGAGGCAGAGGCAGAGAGAGAGGTCCTCCATCCACTGGTTTACTCCCCAAATGGCTGCAATAGCTGGAGCTAGGCCAGTCTGAAGCTGGGAGCCAGGAGCTTCTTCTGGCTGCAGGGGCCCAAGGACTTGGGTCATCTTCCACTGCTTTCCCAGGTACATTAGCAGGGAGCTGGATTGCAAGTGGAACAGCCAGGTCTTGAACTGGCACCCATATGGAATGCCAGCACTGTAAGGCAGCAGTTTTACCAGCTACACCACAGAGCTGGCCCCTCTTTTGTAACGTGTAATAAACATTTTAAGCTGGTAACCCACATATATTTATCAGAAGATTTTACTTTACCTTTACATACCATTTTAAGAAAATTTATAAGAAAAATCAGCTCTCTGCTGTGGCCAGGGAGTGCAGTGGAGGATGGCCCAGGTGCTTGGGCCCTGCACCCCATGGGAGACCAGGAAAAGCACCTGGCTCCCGGCTCCTGCCATCGGATCAGTGCGGTGCGCCGGCCGCAGCGCGCCGGCCGCGGTGGCCATTGGAGGGTGAACCAATGGCAAAGGAAGACCTTTCTCTCTGTCTCTCTCTCTCTCACTGTCCACTCTGCCTGTCAAAAAAAAAAAAAAAATAAGATAAAATAAAAAATAAAAAAAAAGAAAAATCATGTATTTTGAAGGAAAAAAAAGCAGCACTGGACAAATACTAAACACAAAAAACTCAAGTAAATGTGGTTACTGTTTTAGAGAGTAATCATGGCTTTCTGGATCTTTCCCCAACATGTCAAAATATTTATGTTTTGGGAGTGGTGGGGCAGAAATCCGCTTGCTTGGGCTCCTAACAATTTGTTTTAAAATCATGTGTCAGAGAATTAAGCCAAGTCTGTTCATCAAGCAGTAATTGAACTGTCAAGAATAACTGAACTTTTCCAAAATTCTTTCCTCATTTGTAAAATAAGGATACATATCTGTGTCTACTGAGATGTAACCTTCACCATTCTACATGAACGCCTTGAGGCATTCAAGTTGAAGCTAGCATGCTTTGGAGGGTCTGCTAGATTGAGAATTCTGTAAGAGTGAAGAGGTTGTGTGTTGTCCTAACACCCGATATTGCCAAGTACTGATGATTCATTGGTGTGCTGTCATCCAGCAGAATGCATATCAGTTCAGTAGCTGCTGGAGGCCATCACAGAGGCTTATTCACTGGTTAGTGTGGAGTGGGGACTGTCTATTCTGTATCCTTAGGACCCAGCCCAGTTTTGGGTACAAACAATTTACTTGGTAGATGTCTGTTGCCTAAAAGAGGAATTAATGGAGGACAAAACATTTCCCCATGTCCACCCCATGTCCACCCCAGACTAATGTAAGCAAGCTTGTTTCTTCTGAGATGAGTTGAGAACAATCTAAAAGACCACAGTACAAATGATCCACTTGCAGCCCAAGGCTGTTTGGATTCATATCCATGAAGAACAATTCCTTCATTAACCCTTCGATTCCATTCTTCAGTTGCTCTTTATTTTTCATTTGTGCTTGATATTACCTTTCAAGTTAGACTCTGGATTCTTCTGTAAGTTAGGATTCTGTTTGCCCGTCCATGCAGCATATTTTCAAAACCATCAAGAGTGCCTTTCTGGGTCTGTTTAGTCCCTGGACTTTCCACTTGGGTATGCCAAGTGATTTCATGTTGATACACCCAGATGTGACCTTGAGGACTGGTGTTCCTGACACTGGACTCTAATCAACTGACTCTAAGAAACTGAATCCACATGGTCCTCTTTGGTCATCTTAAAAAAGGGAATTCTCTTGAGAACTGCATTAGGAGCTATGAGTTTATCAGATTGGTTTGCCAACCCAAGGCCCAGTTGCCGTATTACAAAAGTGAAATTAGGCACGAGGGATTATGGAGGAAACCTTTCAGTCTACTGAAGTCCGCTGAGTAGGTTGAAGGGAGGGAATGCAGAAAGAAGGATGGAATTGAAGTGTATCAGTTGCCAACTACGTGTCAAGTAGAGGACTTTGCGTTCACCTACACTGTGTGAAGTTTGAAGAACTAACTTACTCAGAGAGGGAGGCAGAATGGAGACTGAGATCACTAGAGCCCTCACCCTTTTCACTAAATCCCATGGACTTTTAATATTCTAGCCCCAAAACATCTTTCCTGGCTCAACAGAAAGAGAGATTTCTGGGCTAGACCCAAACAGAATCTCCTTGGTGAATACAGTGAAGAAAGAAAGGCAAATGAACATGACAGAGCTAATGTGAGAAAAAGAATATAAAAAAAAAAATACCAACAGTAGCAACACCCACCAAGAACAGTCATATAAGACTGAATTTGTATGCTGTTGTAAACATCTTCACCAATACAATATCCTGCTGATTTTTTCTTGGCAATCTATTAATAAGAGAGGTAAATTTTATTTTCTGCATTATATGGATATTTCTTGAGATAAATCTCTGTTATACCCAATGGATTTGGGAAAACCAATAGTTTATCAGAAACAACTATTGGGGAGGATGGGCAATGAGGAGGTCTCACAGATTGCTGGTGAGACTGATACTTTACTTTGGAAAATACATCCAGGGCAGTGGAAGAGGTGCAGCAGTTTCATAGGAAGACAAAGCATCATAATGTGTACATCATGGGAAGGCATGTACAAGAATGTTGATATGATAGTGAATCATAATGCTCATAAGAGGAAAAAGGTGGGAGCCCTGTAAGTGATCATGTGTAGCTATGGATTAAAATTATGTCCTGTTCACACACAGGAATGCTCTCTAGGAATGAAAATCAGCTAATTACATTTATACACATCAGCTTGGTGACTCTGAGGCCCACATGAGTGAAGTCCCAGTGCAGAAGTGTCATAGTTTGGTGACCTACCTGCTTATTTTCTAATTCTTATGAAAGTTCTCTTACCTCTGTTCTGCACGCTGTGGCTGCTCACCATGAATGAAGGGCTAAAGGAAATGGCAGATTGAAAGCATGTTAGTATTTCCCATGATGGATTCAATTCTACTTGGATACAAGGTCACTGCAAATGGCATGGGTCTCATTTATAAGGCACTTTGTAGCCTACTGGATATGCTAGAAATATGTTCTATCCTTCCTCTCCCTTCTCAAGATTGGTAAGTATCAAGTGTGGAACAAATTGACTGACTCATGTGAGTTCTTCTCATGTCATTTCAATCATTGAAATGATTATTTGCTCACATATCTTGATTCTTTACTTTTTGGAGCCTTGGGTTTATACTTTCCTTATAGTTACAGTCACTATAGAAAATAATATTTTGGGGCAGGCATTTGGCATAACTCTTAGGCCATCGCTTAGGAAACTCACATCCCATATCCAGAGTGCCTGGGTTTGACTCTGCTTCTGATTCCAGTTTCCTGTTGATGTGCACCTTGGGTAGAAGTGGGTGATGGCTCAAGTGCATGGATCCCTACCACACACAAGGGAGATCTGAATGGAGTTCCTGACTCCTGGTTTTAGCCTGGTGCAGTCCTGGCCATTGCCGGCATTTGGGGAGTGAATCAGCAGATGGAGGATCCTTCTGTCTGTCTCTGTCTCCCTGCCTTTCAAATAAATAAAAATAATAAAAAAAAATAATAAAAAAAGAATAAAAAAGGGGATAATATGTTGCAGAGCTGCAGTTCATATTCTGTAGTAACCATAGTTAGGAAGAAAAGTAGAGAAGTAATTTTATTCCATAAAATGCTAGCTGGGTGAGAATACTGTGTGGAGTATTATAAGTAAACCCCAAAGAAAAGGGGTGTAATAAAGATATTTGACAATCAAAATGACAATGTGCGTTTCTAAGCACCAAAATGACATTATAAAGATTGTTCATCAATGGCTTTACTTAACACTTCACTGGTTCCTTTTGTATTGCAATCAACACCATCAACCTAAGCTCCAGGTGCCACTACAGTTAAATCTAATTACAGGGGACATGCTCCACAGCAAGGATTGTGCTATTGACTAAAGCCTCTGGGTTAATTACATGGAAGCTGAACTTTTGCTAGCACCAATGAAATCAACTGAGCATATATCTAGCTTTTGCCTCCATTAAGGCTGGGGTCTTACAGAGTGCTTTGAGGACAAAACTGCCAGCAGATCATCCAACCACCACACTGTCATCACTGGACACTTCTACTGACACTCAAACTTTCCACTCTGTTAAAAACCATGATTGCTTTCCTAGGAGGCAGTGTACAATGTTGTGAAATGTCTGGGGAAAAAGTGATGAAGAGCAAAATTTCTCTATTCTGATTTTTAGGAAATGTCAAAAGCTGGGGAATATCTTCTGAGAATATTCTAGGTCTCAGGTACAGAGTTTATAAGAATAGAAGAAAAAAAACCCAAACAGATAAAAATGATGATTCATTCATTTAGGAAGCACAGGTTGAGGGTGGAAAATTTTGGAAAAAAAAGATTTATTTAGTTATTTGAAAGACAAAGTTATAGATTGACAGGGAGAGGCAGAGAGAGATATTCCATCCACTGATTTACTCCCCAAACGGCCACAATGGCTGGAGCTCAGCTGGGCCAAAGCCTGGATCCAGGAGCTTCTTCTGGGTCTCACATGGATAGCAGGGGCCCAAGCACTTGGGCATATTCTGCTGTTTTCCCAGGCAATCAGCAAGGAGTTGGATCAGAAGTAGAGCATCTGGGATTTGAACTGGAACTCATATAGGATGCCCGCATCTGGGATGGTGGCTTAACCTACTGTGCTTGCCACACCTGTCCTGAGTATGGCAATTCTGGAGTGACATAAAATGAATAATACATGGCCTTTGCCATGAGGAAGGTTTGTTTTATGAGGGAAGACGTACCTCAATCATGATGTGGGATAAATGCCATGGTGAAAGTGTGCATGCCTTAAGTTTTGGTGGGAGTAAAAGGTCACTTAATCTGTACAAGTTTGCTTTGGTTCTCAGGAAAGTCTTCATGGATGAAATGCTAACTGAGCTGACCCCTGAAAAGGTGAAAGGGGTGAGAGTGTGGTGCAGGTGTATGGAGCAGTATCTACCAAGCCTCAGAGGCAAGAAAACGTGGTCCATTCTGCAGGAGACAGAAACAGATCCTCATGAGTGGAAGGTAAGGCATGGACATGATCAGTATTATTAGGAGCCTATTGGGGTAGATGGGGCAAGAATTGATGGTGGCTGGTGTTTGCTGAGAGCTGGGAGGGAAATGGATAGACTCAAGACATGTTTCTGAGGTAGAATTTGGGGGGTTATATATGGATTAGATCTGAGGAGTGACAATGGCAAAGAGAGCTTACTAGAGTGAAATATCTTGCAGTCTTACATTGTTTTGTGATTGGGAGTAGAAACGAAGAGTTGCATTTTCAACATTATGAGTTTATGAAGCTTGTGACCCACCCAAGGGAAACAGCCGACTGGGCCTTTGAATATTTAGGTCTGGAGCTGAGAGAAGTGGTTTGGGAAGAAGGTGGAGATTTTGGAATTATCAACATACAGCTGACAATTGATCTTGAGGATAGATAAAATTCCCCAGGCCTTTAGAGAGAAAAAAGACCCTAGATAAACTCAGAGGAATAGCAGCATGTAGAGGTCAGAAGAGGTTTTAGAATAAGGAATGAGTTAAGAGAGGAAGAGAAACGAGGGGAGTTTGTTCAGTAAATTAAATGAACAAACACAACAAGCCCAAACCACGTCCAGTGGCTACCACAGGTATTAACTGAGAAGCTCATTATCAATATGATGATTTTTTTTCCTTTTAGAAAATTCCATTTAGACATGGCATGTTGTGGAAGGGGCCACAATTTGTAGCAGATTAGGCCTCAAACAGGGAACAGAACAGTAAGACTTATGAAGCCATGGTCCTAATACCCAGTGGTCAAAGAGAACAGGTACTGAAATTGCAAAATAGTATTAACACTAAGAGGGAGAGGGGTCAGGAATGGGGAGATATTTGTGATGTCCTTGAAGCCCAGGACCGGGCTTTATTAATGACAGCTGATGTTTATTGAGTTCTTGTAACATTCCTGGTTTTGATCCAAAGTTCCCATGCAAGAGGGTGGCATTGCCTAAGTCACATGGTTCCCTGGTGATGGAGACTCCAGTGGATCCTGCCTACCACTGGTCTTTGCCACACAAGCACAGTTATGTTCCCAGGACATGTTCACTGAATGAATACAAGGCAGCATCTTGGCCATGGGCAGGCACCAGGGAGGGCTAGGACTCGTGGGCTAGATGTTTAGAATCAAGTCACTGTAGTCAGCATGGGTCACTGAAGAGGGCTTGGGTTTCGAAGCTGGACTTGACTTCAATGGTGAAGGGCTCTGCCTCTCGGGACCTCACTTTTCTCACTTGGAGAACAGGCCAGAACTAATTCCTGAATTCAGTGTGGTTGGAAGCTGGTGTCTGATGGATAAAAAGGAATTTTTCATGAAGGGAGAGAATGGAGAGGATCACGTATGGGGGAAGTTTTATAGGCAGAGGGATAGCCTGTGGCCGTGTTCTGCATTGAGCCAGAGGGTGGTAGCTGGAAGGCATCCGATGAGACCTCTGTGCAGGGTGTGAGGGTAGAGTGCCCTTAACTGAGGTGGGGCCTTGTCCAGAATGGGATCATGAGGGCCTTATGGCACTAATTTTGGAGGCCCTGGATTTTGTTTTAAGGAAGCCACCACTCATTTACTATGACTTTGGTGCATGAGTCACCTGCCTGAGCCTTGGATTTAAGTCTTCAGTTGGTTGACTCTTGATCAAGCAGGTACTTACTGGTGTCATGGAGTTTTTAACCTCTGACTATATAAAATGATGTTCAGATGTAGCTGCAAGTTGTAGTGAGGTCATTAGCTAAGATTAGTTAGTAACAAAAACCTCCCCTGCACAACTGACTCACATCCATTCCAGCGAATTCTGCCCAGCGAATGCTCCATTCCTGTAATCCATCCACCTTCTCAGCACACAACCCCATGTGAATTTCAGAAAGAGCAACATTGATAGATTTTGTACACCTGGGATGCACAGGTTTTTCTTAGCCCTTAGCACATCAGAAACAAAAGGTCAGAAGTTTTCACTGTTTTCCAGAAAGTCCTGGTGGTCGTTGTGAGAGACAGCAAATGGCCTCACCCCCAAGCTGGGACCCATTAAGGTACCCTTGGCTCCTTACCTGGGAATTCCAAGTGAGATCTCTTGCATAGCTTGGTTTTGTGACAACTGAGATGATTGAGGTGTCACCTGATGACGAAACGCTATAAAAGGGAGTCACATAATCTGGTCAGAGTGCAAAATGAAAGTGACTGTGGCCCATTAGAAATCCACTGGAACTGTGATAATTTCACCCAGTAATCACCAAGAGAACTGGTGCTCGGTATATACCGTAACAACCCATATATTCCACAACTCTCCTGGAAGTAACCTCTCCCTGAAGTTATAAAAATTCCTTTTAATATTTACAATTTGGAACACATGGTTAAACTTCCCAGAAACACAGAATATTACATTGGAAAGTGTTGTGTTTTTTTTAGAGATTATTCTAGATCAGATACTTTTTAAGATTTTTAGCCTCCTTTTCATTCATTCATTCCTATCACTGGACACTTATTAGCGGTAGACCTACAGGTTTTCTTCCAGAATCTGGGCATACAGTGAAGACAAACACAGTTCTTTGTTTCTAATGGAAGGACACAAAAAAATATGCATGTCCACAATTCAGTGAGCATTTCTCAGAATATGAGTGGGGAAATTGCATGTTATGGATAACTATGCATACATTTCAAAATTGTTTTGCACCAAAATAAACCTGTGCCATCGATTTTTTGAAGTACCTTTGTCTAAGTGATCTAAAGAAGATAAAGTGCTAATTTGGGGTGCAGAGTGATGTGTGTGTAGAGAGATGGAATCTGAGCTGAGGTCAAAATGAGGAGAAAGTTAAACCAAAGACGATAGAGGGAATGGGATGTCCAGTGCTGACCCATGCTTGTCTGTGTTCTCACAGCCAACCTGTGACCAGCAAGCTCTCAGCATTCTGATGCAGACCAACAGTTTCTACCTGGCTACAACCAAGGATATGTTTTCTCAATTATTTTTCCCTTGATCATTAAGTTTTGCTAAGTTCTGGCCAGCATACAAACTGGGGTTATGTAGTAATTACGTGTGCCATTGGTGTTACTGTTTTTATTTCCTTTTCACAGATAGATTTTAACCAGTCATCCATAATGATCAAGGACACATAATAATGCAATGATAGGAGATCCCATAAAACACCCTCCCATTGTGGTTGCAAGTAATAAAGCTAAGGAAGCATACAGACACCAAGGTGTCTTAATTTTGGTTTTTACCCTGTGTTCTGTCCCAAGGCTGGTCATAAACTAGCCACCTTTGATTGAAGGACTATGATTACTGGAAATGTGATTGGAGTCACCAACTGGCCCATTAATCGCATATCCCATAAAAGCATGTCGTTGTCATCAATAGTCCTCCAGAGTGTCTGCCCCTCTTAACATAAACAATGGTTTATGTCACATGGTTGCATTGATAATCACCAAGGCCTGACATGACTTATAGTGTGGTTTTCATATAACTTAGAATTGCCAATAAATACCCACTCCTCTATCAGGGACCCTTGGGAAACCATAAGCCCAGGTTAGGCCCCTCTTCAAGTTTAATTTCCTTGATATATGGAGAAAGGCAGACTTGAAACTCACAGAGGAAATGCATCTGGATCAAAACCACACCATGGTCGGTGGAAGGCCTCTACAGTCCTCACCCAGGATTGGACTGTGCTGTCTTTGACTATGGGCATAATTTGTCCTTCTAAATAAATGGGGAAATGAGTCTCAAAGGTGACATGAGGCACTACCTTCTTGGCATCCTGCCATCTAGTGAAGTGAGTGCTGGATTGCATACTGGCACCAACAGTGTACACACATGTGTTTGTATGTGTGCATGCATGAATGAAGACATCTGTGTGTATGTGTGTGTGTGTGGTGACATCAAAAGTAGAGAAACATCAAGAGTGTCTCTGGAGCAGAAGGGCAGCAATGTCTTTCTAAAGTGGCAGGGTTCACAGTGGGACTTTTTTTTTTTCTTTTTTCAATGTGACTGCCATGGCTAAAGAAAGACTTATGACTACCCCTGATTTAAATCATTCTGCTTAGAATAGAAGATGCTTGAATATACTATGATGTGCTAGATCCATCTTAATCAGGCCAATACACACATACACACACCATATACCCCAGACTTCAGAACAATTAATCCTTTTTGATGATGACTAGCACTATAGATCTAGAAGCAGAACTTATTCTATTGATATTAAGGCAAGAAAACAAAAGCAAACAATTTACCTTTTTCTGCTCTGAGGACCTGTATTAAAAACAAAAAAGAAGTTGAATGACTTGGTGAGAGAGAACTTAATATAACATTATATTTGGTTTTAGAGCAGTTGTATAATAAGAGTTTGGGTAATTTGTTTGGATTTGCCAATATTTAATTATGTGCTTGCTACAGGAAAAAAATGCATTCTATTTTTCATGGATACACAGTGAATATCATATATGTGGGGTACAGTGGGACATGGTGACATGTATGCACCATGTAATAATTAAATCAGAGTTCTTGGCGTAATCATCTCTTTTTATATTTATCACATCATTGTGTGGGAATGCCTGTAATCTTTGCTTCTAGCTATTTTGAAATGCATAGAAACATATTGTTAACTATAGTCACTAGAGCTTATATTACCCATCTGACTGGATTTTTGCACCTGTTAAGCAGAGCTTTTCTCTACCTCTCCCCCACCCCCTTCCAGCCTTTGGTCACCATTATGTCACTCAGATAAATTTTTTTCAGCTTCCTTGTCTGAGCATATGCAGTATGCTTCTATTTGTGCCTGTCTTATTTCACTTAGCACAATGTCCTCCAGGTTCATCGAGGTTGCCAGGAATAATAGTATTACATTCTTTTTTTATGGCTGAATAATATTTCACTGTGTAAATATACCATTTTCTTTATTCATTCATTCATTGATGGATATCCAAATGGGTTCCAAATCTTGGATATTGTAAATAGGCAACATTTTTATTACTATAGATTTTTTAAGAAAAATAATTCTCTAGGGGGCCAGCACTGTGGCGCAGTAGGTTAATCCTCCACCTGAGGCACTGGCATTCCATGTGGGTGCTGGTTCTGGTCCCGGCTGCTCCACTTCTGATCCAGCTCTCTGCTGAGGCCTGGGAAAGCAGTAGAAGATGGCCCAGGCATCTGTGCCCCTGCACCTGCATGGGAGACCAGGAGGAGGCTCCTGGCTTCTGGGTTCAGATTGGCCTAGCTCTGGCCATTGCGGCCATTTGGGGAATAAACCAGCAGATGGAAGACCTTTGTCTCTGTCTCTCCCTCTCACTGTCTGTGGCTCTGCCTCTCAAATAGATAAAATCTTTAAAAATAATAATAATTCTCCAAGAGACAAAATAAAAACCAAAATGTTACACTCTGTTATATAATGGACACGAACACATTCTACTGAGGGGACTATAAATTGCTTTAATTCCTTTGTGGAGTTCTCAAGAGCCTCAGATATCCTTATTCCAGTAATTCCATTGTGATGAGACTCTTTTTTCTTTAAGAAACAGCCTGAAATATGGACCAAGTTCCAGGTAGAAAGATGATCAGTGCATACTTACTTGTAGTAGAAAATCATCAGAAACCAGCTTTATGCTCAGATAAGTTAAGTCATTAATTTTGGTGCTACATTTCTTGGAATATTTTAAAGGCATTTTAAGATTTATGTAGAGGCTGGAATAAGATTAAGCTGTAAGAGTGCCTCAAGGTTATATAACACATTCAGAATAAAAACTTGGTCATGATCCATTAACCTGTTAGTATATTTCTTATATATATATGTGCATACAGAAAAAGGATTTAAAGTAGACAAATGAATATTAATAGAGGTCATATTAAAATGATGAGGCTCTGATGAACTTTTTCTTCATATCGTAGAATTTGTATTTTTAAAAATGAGTATAAAATATTCACATTGTACATTTTTAGTAGAGCCATTTATATTCCTAAACATTTGCTTTATTTTTCCTTCAATAAAAGTGGTAGAATTTCTGATCATCCATCCTTATGAAAATCTACATATTTGTTGGACTTGCATCCTTGAGCCATACTACTCTTGAAGAGATGAAAAGCCTTAACAGTATTTTCTGAGGTGTTTATTTCACTGGAGATTATTTTACAAAGACCCTTTCAAACATTGCATCCACCAGAGAAGACCTGAGATATCATGTAGATAAGAACTTCTTAAACCTGGGGGACGCAAAAGGTCACAGGATGGCCCGCTGGGGGCTCTGAAACTGCTGAAATGGAAAGCTAAGGTGGTTTTTTTTTTTTTTTTTTCTGTCTATAAATATGTGCATGTCCTTTTTTCCTGCGGTGAAGAAGGTTTATCATACTTTTGTCATATTTTCAAAGGGGTCTGAGATTCAAGAAATGTTAAAAACCATGGTTAACAGATGAGGTCCAAAGAGGTGACACCCTTTGCACAGGTTCCCACAATTGTCTTGTGCTAAACAGACCCTTGACCCAGCTCCCTGATGCACATTTGCTTCATAGATAAGAAACCTTGGGAATGAATTACTGAGTGTGGCATCATATGTCTTGTCTGAAAACAGCCAACAGACAGGACCTTTTGTTTCAAAGACCTTAGCATCCCTTAGGGTTCTGGAAATAGGACATATGTTGTATTATGGACAGCAAATCAACAGGCTGAGTAAAAGGTAATGAATCCATTCTACCGAGTGGTTTGTGAGTCTCCCTGCTGCGTCTCCCTTCAGACTTTGAACCTGGCAGTTCAAAGTCCTCCATCAGATGCTACAGCAGCTCTCAGGCTTATCAGAGGAGAGGGGGCAAAGCTGAGGCTGCTGGGAAGCCCTCCTGCGTGGGGAGAGCAGTTGCTTTGTGTAATTGAGACCAAGCCAGCTTTTTGCTGGAGGGTTCTGAATTTAAAATCAAATGTAATTAGAGAAGTAGAGTGAAGTCTCTATAGCTTTCCCACTTTAACTTTCTATTGTTAGAAAAATATTCAAATTAAATGGTAATGCCTGCTTTATTGCCTTCCCTGCCACTCTCTTTCTCCCCACCCTCCTTCCTCCTTTCCTTTCTACTTTCCTCCCTCCCTGCCTCCTTTTCTCCTTCCCTCTCTCCTGACTCCCTTGGTTTCCCCCTCACCATCCTCCTTCTCCCCTCCATCCTTCCTTCCATTCCTTTCCCTTCTTCCTTTCCTTCTCTTCTCTCTGTCTCTATCTCAGCTCAGAGATGTCTCTATATTTTTAGATACAGGGTCATTGTTGTGGTGAGACCTAAAATTTAGAATTTCAGGGACTAGCCCTACTTACTGCTAGCTGAGGGAACTGGGGCAAATTTGTCATGTCTCTGAAGCTTCATTTTTCTTTGAGGGCATTATGAGGATGGAATGAGGCTATGAGTCTCTTCTTTATTTGAAAACTATGCTGTGACATGTGGATATGAGTCTCTTCTTACTATGCTGTGTCATGTGGATTAGAATTGGGGCAGGTAGCACATTATTTCTGCTGGAATATATTTGAGTCTACGGTATGCAGTTTAAACAAGCACTTAATTCAGACATAAACTTGACATTTCAATTTGAGGCAGAGACAGAGATGAGCTTTTGTATTGGAGGGAGGATCTGGAATCTTAAACCACACAAGCAAAGGGAAGAGTCTTGGCAGAAGATAAGGAGGAAAACTGTTTCTCTATGAGATCTTGTTATTGCAGGATGCCAGCCAAAGTTACAGTGAACACACACGGTCATCTCTGCCTCTCCATTCCTGTCTTGCTTGATGGTGATGGAACGGTCTATATTATGGACTGGAGGTCATCCTGAGTGGTGGCCGACCACTTGAGACAGATAAACCTGACACACAGGAAGAAAGGAGTAGAGTGGGCTTGGGCACCTTGGATGTGTAGGTTTCTCTGCAGCCGAGCATCACCCTCAGCTTGCTTCTTCCTGGTGGAGCCCGAAAAGTCCACCGACTCCCAGGCCATGAGCTGGTGATGTGCTCTCTAGTACTGTTGGGTGAGGCAAGGCCGTCACCAGCAGTTACCAGTGTTGTTGGACTAGAAAGGCTGGAGGCAATAAATGTGTGGTTTGAGTGACAAGCTAAAAATGTGACTTTTGACTTCAGCATTCTCATGAAACCAACAAATAAGGAAGGGAGGAAGAAAAAGAAGGAAAGATAGAAATCAGTCTTCATGGTCTAGGTGTAAGAGTGTGGGTCTAATATGAAGACAACAACTGAATCCCTTAGTGTCCAGTGGCAGTGAGGGAGGCCATATTGTTATTGGACAGAGACTGACTGTCCGTCTGTGGTAGGTGGACCCACCATCTTCTTAAGGAATTCATCTTTGGGGAATAAGGAAGTAAAAAACCTCACAGGGCTCTAAGACAGCTATACCTTATCTGATTTTCATGCCATTTGTTGAGCCTTCATTAACACCTGGGCATTTGTGCACTTACTTTGACTTTATCACAACTTTGTAAAAAATGTCCCTCTCCTTGTTTTATGGCCAAGGAAACAGAAACCCAAATGGTTGGGGACTTTTGCTTCAGTTCACAAATCTAGTAGGTGGCAGAATAGGGTTCAAACCCAGGTCTGTTGACTCCAAATCTCATGTTCTTCAGTCTTGTCTTTTTGTGAAGAACAGTTAGCAAGGAACCATACAGTGGTCAGCATTTTGTTTCTTGAATGCTGCAGATTGGAAGCCATCGGTAGAGACTTGAAGTCTTCCATGTGGAAATGGGGCTGGTCTCTTTTTGCCAGTGAAGACTGAATCAGCAAGGAGACAAAGTAGAATCTTTAAACTCTGCATATTACTTTGTTTTAGTTTAGTTCTTCACCTTCAAAACAGGTATACTTAAACATTTTGAGCATAGCTTTTCACATTATGTTAAATGTGATAAGGTATCTGAAGCAAAAGAAGCTTTGCTCATTGTAGGCATTTATACAAAAATGGCCTTCTTGGTTTTTCAGGACAAAATTGCTACTCACCTCACTTAAGTCCTTTAGGCTTATCTGTCTACAAGAGAAAGAAATATGCTGTTACATGAAATGCAGTTCCTAGTGAACAAGGTAAAAGCATTCCGAGTCCTTACAGACCTTTGATGACATTTTCGTTGCCAAATCAACAGCCCGCAGTTCAGTGTGATACTTACCACTGTTCTATAAAACTAAAGCAGATTATGTTGCTGATAATTTTCTAAGGAAAAGTGTAACTTTTGAACCAACATAAAGATGGTGATAGAATGGGCATGAGTGACCTCTCTTCTTTTAGGAGAATTTAAATCATATCACCATCCCTCCTTACATTTGATCTTCCATGTCAGCTTTCATTGGCAGAGTCAGACCTGTAATTAACTTAATTGAAAACCTGTAGTGCTTTGTTTTGAGAAAATCTGAAAAGTTTTGTATTTGAAGCTGTCAGGCTCAGCGTGATCCCAGGAAGTCATCCTGATGATGGAAGGAGATCTGGGACAGAAAAACAAAAATAAAACAAAGCAAAAAACAAAACAGGAAACTGAAGGGTAGGGAAAGAACTCAACATGGAATTTGATCATCTGGATGTTGGACAGGAGTCAGTAAGGCTTTGGATATATTGATAAGCCAGTTGACTTCTCTATTTTTTTTTTTTTTTTTTTTGACAGGCAGAGTGGACAGTGAGCGAGAGAGACAGAGAGAAAGGTCTTCCTTTTGCCGTTGTTGGCTCACCCTCCAATGGCCGCCATGGCCGGTGCATCGCGCTGATCCGAAGCCAGGAGCCAGGTGCTTTTCTTGGTCTCCCATGCAGGTGCAGGGCCCAAGGACTTGGGCCATCCTCCACTGCACTCCCGGGCCATAGCAGAGAGCTGGCCTGGAAGAGGGGCAACCGGGACAGAATCCGGCGTCCCGACTGGGACTAGAACCCGGTGTGCCGGCACCGCAAAGTGGAGGATTAGCCTAGTGAGCCACGGCTCCGGCCTCAGTTGACTTCTCCAAACCTCATTTTTCTCATCTGCAAAATGGTAGCAAGAGTATTCACCTTGGAGGGATGTTGTGAGAATTACTAGAGACACAAATAAAGACTCTGGGCATTCAGTGGACACTGCAGTGAGACTGTGTTTAAAGCCAGGTGAGGAGGCAGTGGGGGCACGATCAATCCTATCATGAAAGAATGGCACTGAGCGTTGCTGGAGGCAGAGACTGCAGCACCAGTGTCTGTTGATGGAGAGTTTAAGGGTCTGTGTGATTCACGAAAGCTGATTCCAAAAGCACACAGCACTCACGTGCTACATCCTGTCTCAGATCTCCATGCAGTAGGCACCTGTTCTGGGTCCCCACAGTTTTTGCCTTCTTGCATCAGGTCATCTGAGACAGTCCATCTGCACTCCCCCTACCCCTTAGTTAGGCAACTGAGAACATCAAGGAATGCGATGAGAGGCGATGAAGTACAATGAACACCCATAGTATTAATTAATTTTAAGATTAAATTGAAGCTAACCTAAAATGTGTCAATGCATCATTGATTTTTAGATTTGTGATTTTTAAGTTATGGGAGTCAAGGTATGTTTGGTTTCATTTGTTAGGACTTAAACTGTCTAAAATAGGTTGAATTTTCCAAATTTATACATTTACTTTATTAAATTTGCCAAATTGGTTAAGAAAACTTTGTTTACTAGGATTTAGATCTACTCTGTCAAAATTATAAGTAGTTAAAAATCAGCCGGCGCCGCGGCTCACTAGGCTAATCCTCCACTTTGCGGTGCCGGCACACCGGGTTCTAGTCCCGGTTGGGGCGCCGGATTCTGTCCCGGTTGCCCCTCTTCCAGGCCAGCTCTCTGCTGTGGCCAGGGAGTGCAGTGGAGGATGGCCCAAGTCCTTGGGCCCTGCACTCCATGGGAGACCAGGAAAAGCACCTGGCTCCTGGCTCCTGCCATCGGATCAGCGTGGTGCGCCGGCCGCAGCGCGCCGGCCGCGGCGGCCATTGGAGGGTGAACCAACGGCAAAGGAAGACCTTTCTCTCTGTCTCTCTCGCTCACTGTCCACTCTGCCTGTCAAAAAATAAAATAAATAAATAAATAAATAAAAAATAAAAATCAAATAAGTTGGGCTGGCACCGTGGCTCACTTGGTTAATCCTCTGCCTTTGGTGCCGGCGTTCCATATGGGCACCGGGTTCTGGTCCCGGTTGCTCCTCTTCCAGTCCAGTTCTCTGCTGTGGCCCGGAAAGGCAGTGAAGGATGTCCCAGGTTTTTGGGCACCTGCACCTGCATGGGAGACCAGGAGGAATCGCCTGGCTCCTGGCTTCAGATCGGTCTAGTGCAAACTCTGAACATGTTGGTTATTCTTCTGTTATACAGGGTGATTTCAAGGTGCATGGGCCGTGGTATCATGATTGCAATGGATATGTTATTGGAAAGTGATTTCTTTGTACCCCTCCTTTAGTTTATTCCAGGAGAGCCTCTAGGCAGTGGTTCCTGTATTCCAACCACCAACTGAATACTTGTTCACCTTCCCTTTTAATGGATAGAAATCTCCTAGGCTCAAAGTCCTGGTCTGAAATTATCTTTGTTGCAGTTATTTATGGTAATGAAATAAGCCTCTCTTCTAAGTAAATTTGTTTAAGTAAAAAATGAGCTGAGCAAAAGATAGTAAGTGTGTGAGTATTATAAAAAAATCTTCATAGTGGTGCATAAATGCTACATTCTCCAAACTTTAAAGTTCTCTGCTAGTTTTGAGCTGTCGATGAATAATTTAAATGGCATTTTCCATAACTGACGTGCCTTGGCTCAGCAATTGTTTTGTGAAACCAAGACTGAGCTTCAAGAAGAGAATGGCAGAGCTGGCGGAAACAAATGGGACAGGAACACAATGGTGGCCCCGCATGCACCATGGGGCGGGCGGCCCGTTGTGAAGGGCTGCAGCTGGCGGCTGCCTGCCATTGTGGCCCTTGATTGCTGGATGTAAATCACAGCCTCCAAGTGCAGGAGGCGGGGTCATTGCACAGTGCCCTAGGGAGCAGCTGCTCCAAAGGAGCAGCCCTGTTCCATGTGGGTCAGCTCCAGGAGCTCAGCTCTCCACCGTTCCTTCTGCTGTCAGAGCAGCCACCTCACATGGCTGTTGACGTGGAACCTGGGCCATGAGCAGTGGAGCCTGCCCACCCAATGGGGCCCTGCCAGCAATGAACTGGGAAGCACAGCTGTCTTCCCATGGTGGCGTTCCCAGCGTCTCCGACTGGGCTTTGCAGGTTTTTGCCCCCTCAGAAGTCAGATGCTAGCCCTGTGCTTTTCACCGAGTTATTTAACATCTCTGCACCTGAACCCTACTGAGCATTCCTGCCTGGCGTGTAGGGGAGTATTCACTGAGTATCCCTGTGTCCTCCACTGGGTGAGGCACTTGACTCTTTTCAGCTTTAGACAGATTTTCTTTTCAGGGCTGCCAGAGGGAGTCAGTGAGAGCAGATGTAAGTCCTCTCTGGAGGCGTTTTGGGTGGAGAGATCCAACACAGTTCTTATAGCTTCTAAAATGATTAAGTCATAGATAACTACAGGAATCCCAGGAACACAATGGTGGGAGTACAGAGGCAGAGCTTCTTAACATCTGTGCGGTTCCCTTTTTAAGCCTCATCATTCTTTCTTTTATAAGACATTGCTCTTTTTTTAAACCCATAACTTTATTTATTAGAGACAGAGGGACAGAGTGAGGTCTCAACTGCTGATTTGCTCCCCACATGCCTGCCACACTCAGGGCTGGGCCAGGCTGAAGCCAGGGGCTGGAAGCTCAGTTCAGGTCTGCATGTGGGTGGCAGGGATCCAACCACTTGAGTCAACACCTGCTGCCTCCCAGGGTGCACACTAGCAGGAAGCTGGAGTGGAGGCAGGATTAAACTGAAGTGCTCTGATATAGGATGCCAGTGTTCCAAATGACACCTCAGCTGAACTGCTATGCCAACAGCCATCCTTTAACTGTGTTGTTCTGTGTCCTGTGGGATGTTTAGCAGCAGCCTGGTCTCTGCTCTCCATACCAGTAACACCCCTCATCCAAGCTGTCACCACCCCATGTGTCTCCCAGGGGGCAGGAATTGCAAGGTCCCTGCCCCAAATCTGCTAGTTCATAGGAAGTGGGATCTAAATTTCCACCTGGGCAGTGTAAATGCAGACTTGAGAACCCTTGTTCCTTCCGTGGTGCTGTGCGGGGGCAGAGGGAACAGAGCTGCATTCCATGGGAGGAGGAAGCGCAGGAGAGGGAGAGGAGGAGGAAGAGGAAGGAGCTTCCTGGAGCCATGTTTGGGTGGGGCTGTGGAGGATGAACATACATGCTCCAGACAAGCAGGGAAGTGGCATTTTAGGATCTTTCCTATTGGGCAGGGAAAGCTTGACTGCTGTGTCCAGGAGAAACCCTTCCTACTAGGTAAGACCTTGTTCCCACCGGCTGAGTTAAGCTTGCTGTGATAAAGCATCACCCACCTATGTAGGAACAAAAAAGAAGGGTTGACCTCTGGTCTGACTTCCCAAGTCAGGAAATTTTGGAAATTTGAGATCTTTGGGGGAAATATACTGTCATTGGAGTCCATCAGATTTTGTGATTTGAGCTGGCTCCTGAATGCCCCACATAGTCGGGAGTGGTGCTCTGCCACCTGCACTTCGTACAGAGTTGCTTTTTAATATTTGTCAGCAACAGTGCTGTTTTTGACACAGGGGTTTTCAAGCATGGTTATGTTTCTGCAGCCTGGGTGATGGGCAGCTGGGGCTCCCGTTCATGCTGGGATCCTCTGAATCCCCTTAGGTTTTCGCATATGATATCCTCATGCTTTTATATAACATTTTCTTTGATAATGAACTCAGGCCTCAAGAGAGCAATTCTTTCAACCACTCATTTTGTTACAATGAAGCTGTAGCTTTGAGTGAAGGACCAAAGGCAGGTTTCTGAGGGTATTCCCTCTGGGTTTAATTAGCAGCCCTCCACCCATTAGGGAACCAATCCAGAGAAGAGACTAGTTTGATTTCCCTTCCCCTCCCCTACTCACAAGCTACCCCTCCCCCCACCAGGTCCTTTCATGCCCAGCGATCACCAATCTCTCACCTGGGCCCTCCTTGGACTTCAGGAAAGGTGTGTGGTTGAGAACAAGGTCTGTGATTCACCGGCTCAGGGGACAGTGGCTGGTACTTCTTGGGAAGAGTGGCAGGGGGCCTGTGTGAAGATCATAGTGGGGACTGAGAAGCTGTGCAGCCCAGCTGTGCCCTCACAGCCTGGCATCACACCACCCACCCTTGCTGTGCCCTGCTCTGGCCTGGAAACTTCAGTTTGGGAATGCTTGCTACATCACAGAGCATCCTGGCCCATTTCAGGAGCTCCAAATGTTAGCATCGTCCCCGTTTGAAACATACAGATAACTGCCTTGCGTCTGTTGCCTGGTCTGGGGCTGTTTTCTAAAGGGTACCATACAGCATAGTACAGTGGCCCGTGCCTTTCCATTTGCACCTGTTCTGGTTTGAGGAGGCCTGGGGAAGGTAGGATAGCAAAACTTCCATTTATCCCATACCCTGAGGCTGCAGTTGTAAAAACACCCCTAAGAAATACGGAAATGTTTGAAATTTAGTGAATGCCTCACTCACCCATTCTAGTCACCCATTCACTCATTCATTCTTTTTTTTTTTAAGATTTATTTTGCTTATTTGAAAGTCAGAGTTACACAGAGAGAAGAGTGGGAGAGAGAGAGAGAGAGAGAGAGAGAGAGAGAGAGGTCTTCCATCAGTTGATTCATTCTCCAGATGGCCACAACGGCTGGAGCTGTGCTGATCCGAAGCCAGGAGCCAGGAGCTTCTTCTGGGTCTCCCACATGGGTGCAGAGGCCCAAGGACTTGGGCATCTTCTGCTATCCCAGGCCATAGCAGAGAGCTGGATTGGAATAGGAGCAGCCAGACTAGAACCGGCGCCCATATGGGATGCCAGCGCTTCAGGCCAGGGCTTTAACCCGCTGCGCCACTGCGCCACAGCACCAGCCCCAACCCTCATTCATTCTTAAAGTGTATCAGGCACTTCGATGGATGCTGGGGATGCACAGAGAAAAGACAGAGCCATTGGCTTAAGATGCCTCTCTTGGGGAGGTCGGGGGAGAGGTGAAGAAGTGATTGTCAGAGAGTGCAGGTGGTGCCCTGGCACCAGCACTGGTGGCGTTGCCTCTCTTCAGTGTCAGCAGCCACATCTGTTGCTCCTGTGTGCATATGCATGTGTGACTATCATAACATCTGTCTTATGTACAGAGTAAATGTAAACCCCTGCATTACACCTGTATGCATGCATGTATATACGTACTCCCTTGACTGAAATTATGTCTATACATGTACCTATGTGTATACTGATCATTGGTTGATAATATGATTTAATATTGGCATAAATTATAAATCCATATATATGTACAAAGACAATGATTGTTGGAATATTGATTATTTGATATTGATATACATATATAAATGCATATATATGTGGCATATCCCAGTCTCATATGAATCCAGGATGCCAAGCGTGTAACATCCTACAGTTTGGCAGATTTCTGTACTAAAAGAATGAAGAGAAACGGGAAGAAGAGATGAGTGGAGGGGTATTGAAAAGATAACTGAATGAATGAATGACTTAATGGCTGAATGAATGAAGGCTTGTTTAATCTCCATGGGACAACTCATATGCGTCTTTCCATGTCAAGTATTTGTGTTTCTCTTTTTTCAAGTGCTGGCAACAAATCTCTTACGTACATAGCAAAACGAAATACTATTTTGCAGTCTTACCGAGGAGGCAGTAAAGGAGCCTGCAAAAGGAAAGAGAATCAGGAATTACACTTGTTCTTTGAGCAGAGACAATGCTTGACAATCTCTGAGTTTACAGATTGAAGCCACAAATCATGACTGTGGGGAGCAGCCCGGACTGGACTGAGTTACTGGAATTAAGACTTATTCTATGCACCTGCTCTCCCACAATATGGCGCTGGGAGAGAAGTAAACAGCTTCCGCACAGCTGCCTCCAGTTCAACCAATAAACTGTAGGACTTGCTCCTGATTGGAGGAGAGCAGCGTACTCGGCGTGTGGGCAGCCGAGTTGGGATTGGCGGAGGAGGACTATAAAGGAGGAGAGAGATGGCATGCACCGGGAACATCTAAGGGGAACATCTAAGGGGAACATCTGAGGGAACACCTGTGCAGCCCCCGAGAGAGCCGGCCGGCGGTGTGCCGCTCCCCTGCGGAAGTGGGGAATGTGGCCAGGGGGAACTGCCCTTCCACGGAGGTGGAAGGGACAGTAGCCAACCCGGGAAGAACCAGCAGCAAACCCGGGGAGGGCCGAGCAGACAGAAAGAACAGCGCAGGGTCCTGTGTCGTTCCCCCACGAAGAGGGGGAGCGACAATGAGCAAACTTCCAGGACGTATTTTTCCAGTGATAGCTAAGCCTTCACGTTGTCACGTCTAGTACTTCCAGAGTAAAGGTAGCAGCTGTGTGATAATAGTTACTCCTACCTTGTTTGCCTTCATGGCTCTGTTTCCTGAAACATAAGAACAACAGAAAATTCAAGGGAATTGTCACCAAGCACTATTTTTACATCCTCTTGTAAGAAAATCAGTCCCATTTTTAACAATATCAATGAAAATGTCAGTCAGTATTCACTGAAATTTTATTAGGTCCCAACATCATGATAAACACGTCAGTGTGTGGTTTTGCCATTTTCTCACCTCTTTCTGTTAATACAGAAGCCAAGGCGTGGGGAAGGCAGCTTTCTCACTTACCATCTCCCGACGGGTAAGTGGCAGAGTAAGGATTTCATGACATGTGGTGTGACTCCCTATAACATTCGTGTATGTAATTTCATTAATTCAAGTTCCTGCCCAACACTTTCATGAGGCCTTTTTTTAAAAACAGAAGACAATGACATCAAATAATTTTCAAGATAAAAGTGTTTTCAAAGATTCCTTAATCCAACTCCTTTTTCAGGGATGACAGAACTAAGGACAAACCAGATAGGATGGTTTCTCAAATCTGTTGTGACGATTTGGACATGGCTTCGGGGTGTCCCCCCAAGGCCCATGTGCTGGAAGCTTGGTCCCCAGTGTGATGAGGATGAGGTGGTGGTCCCTTTAAGAGGTGGGGTCTAGGGCAAGGTAATTAGGTCATGGGAGCACCACTCTCAGAAGGGATTGATGTAGGTGTAACAGGAACGAGTGTGTTCTGACATGAGTGGGTTGTTGCTGAGCTGGGCCCCTTCTGCACACAGCCAGTTCCCTTTGTGTCTCTCCCTGGTGGACTATGTTGTAATTCACATTGATAACTTCCTATGAAATGAGATGTGGTCTTTCCAAGAGGCCATTTTTCATAACTACCATGATATCTATTGGAGATCAATTCAGTTCATTGGAAAAAAATTCAATAAAGAGACTGAGTTTCTTTAATTCAATAGGAACATTCTATTTGCTGTTTTATAGAGATCTGTCCAGTTTGCTTTGGTGGCTGCGAGCTTAGAAAAGGACATCCATCTTCCTTTTATCCATTGGCTTATTATGTAGCACATAGAATGTGCCAGGTATGGATTCATTTTTAATACATTTATTGACATAGCTGTTGGTAATATCCAAAAATAGAGATGCTACTATTTATAAGACAGGTCTGAGGAGGGGTCTCTAGCTAGGTGGTGAACTCAGAGGCTTGAGGAATGGGGGGAGTATGTCATGTACATATCTGGGGACATGTTGTGTTAGCTGGGGACATGTCATATGGATATCTGTGGACGTGTCATGGGATATCTGCAGACAGACGTATCATGTTGGTGTCTGGGAACGTGTCTGGGGCTATGTGGATACTTGGGTATATGCCAGGTAGACATCTGGGGACCATGCCATGTGGCTATCTATGAGAAAGGATTCCTGACAGTGAGAGCACAGTCCTGAGGTGGGGTGAGCACAGATGAAGGTAAGGCCTGAGGTAATGATGAAGTTGAGAGTGCCCAGATCACCTGGGGTCTCCTACACTGGGATAAGAATCTTGACTTATTCTTTGGTTCACTACTTCATTGAGGTGTGGCTGACTTAGAGCTTTCCATATATATTGGATACGTCTCAGTGAGTTTATACCCATATATACCTGTGAAACCATCAAGGCCATAAACATATCTATTACCTTCCAAAGTTTCCTCCTGAATCTTGTATTATTATTATTATTATTATTGTAAGAACACTTAATGTGAGATCCATAACTCAGCAACCCGATGCTGGGTTGCTCACTGAGGGTACTAGGCTGTATGGTGGGTTGCCAGAACTTATTATCTTTAAGAGCTTAAACTCTGCAGCCTGTAACTATCACTTTCTTATTTCCCCTTTCTCCTGGCTCCTGGCATCCACCTTTCTACCCGCTGCTTCTGTAAGTTTGGCTATTTAGATACCACATGAAGTGAGACCATACAATATTTATCTTTATTTGGCTTGTTTTACCCAAGATAGTGGCCTCCAGCTTTACTGATGTTGTCACAAATGACAGGATTTTCTTCTTACAAAAACAACCTGTTATTTATGTATTTTCATTTTAATTGAGAGGGAGAGGGCGAGTGGAAGAGGCAGATATATATATATATATATATATATATATATATATATATATATCATCTGCTTGTTCACTTCCCAAATGCCTACAGGCAGCTAGGGCTGGGCCAGGCCATAACCAGGAGCCTGGAGCTCTATCTGGGTCTCCCATGTGGGTGGCAGGCCCCAAGTACTTGAGTGACTGCCTGCTGTCTCCCAGAGTGCTCATTAGTAGGAAGCTTGATTGGAAGAGTAGGAGCTGGTACCCAGACTGGGTACTTAGATATGGGATGAGGGTGTCCCTAGTGGCATCTTAACAACTATGCCCAAATCCTGCCCCAGTTTACTTCCTTTGGGACTTCAGTATTCTCCACTGCACATATATACCACAGATTCTTTATATTCGTTCATCTTCAGATTCCATTTCTTGGTCATTATGAATAATGCTCCTATAAACATGGGGATGCAGATAGCTGTTCAAACCCTGACTCCAGTTCCTTTAAATGTGGACCCAGAAGTGGGATAGTGTGATCTCATGATCATTCTTGTTTTAGTTGTAAATTAGCTGTACTAATTCACTTTCTCACCAACAGTGTGCAGGGGTTCCCCTTTCTCCACATCCATCCCAACAGATGTGAGGTGACACTTCTCCTGGCTCTGATACGCATTTCCTTGATGACCAGTGATGCTGAGGACCCTTTGTACATACCTGTTGGTCACCATAATGTCCTCCTCAGGGAAATGTTTACCCAGACTCTCTGGGATTCTAATCTTTTTATTTTTGTTCAGTTGGTGAATTCCTTGAATATTTGGGTATTAAGCCTTTATCAGATATACGGTTTGTAAGTATTTTCTTCCATTCTTTAGGATACTTTTTAGCTCTATTGATGATTCCTTTGCAGAAGGCTTTTAGTTTGATATAGTCCCACTTGTTTGTTTTACCTTTTGTTGCCTGTGCTTTTGGTGTCATGTCCAAAGTCATTGGCAAGATCAAGGTCAAGTACTTTCTCCCTGCGTTTTCTTCTAGCAGTTATATAGTTTCAGGTCCTGTGTTTAAGGCTTCAACCCACTAAGTTGATTTCCTTTCATGATGTGACAAGAGTCTAGTCCCAGTTTTCTGCATGTTGATATCCTGACCTCTCAACATCACTGAACACTACCCACCCTTCCCCACTCTTTGATTTTTTAAAAGATTAATTAATTAATTTGAGAGGGAGAGGAAGAGGGTGGGAGAGAGAGAAGGAAAGAGGGGGAGAAGGAGAGAGATCTGCTAATTTAACTCCCTGTATTCAGCCAGGCTGGAGCTGAATACATGCCTGTATTCAGCCAGGCTGGAGCTGAATCTGGGTACCTGGACTCAATCTGGGTCTCCTACATGGGTGGAAGGAACCCAACCACTTGAACCATGAACACTGCCTCCCAAGGTCTGCACTGGCAGGAAGCTGGAGTCAGGAGCTGGATGTGGGGCATGGTGTCTGAACCACCATGGTAAACACTCACCCACATTGTGTATTTCTGATGCCCTTGCATAAAGTAAGCTGGCTGTATGAGGATGCGTTTATTTCTTGGCTCTCCACTCTGCTCCTTTGGCCTAATGAATTAGTTTTTGTGCCAGTGCTATATTGCCCTGCTACTGTAACCCTGTAAATGCCATTTGAGTTCAGACAATGTGATGTCTCCAGCCTTGTACCTCTTCTTACTCAAGATTGCTGTGGCCACTCAGAGACTTTTTTGTTAATCATGGTCAATCTTCATGATACGCTGTGCAAATGTCCTGCATCTTGGTTATAATGTAAATTTTTCTCTAGTGTCGTTTAGTGTTCCTCACTTTGAAAATTATGTGTATGATACTGTCAACAGTGACAGCAAAAATCCCTGAGGGGGTGGGCATTTGGCATAGCAGTTAAGACACTGCTTGGGCTGCCTGCATCCCACACTTCAGAATGCTTGGGATTGAGTTCTGGCTCTGCTTCTGATTCTAGTTTCCTGATGAGGCTGGTCCTGGGAGGCAGCAGGTGATGGCTCAATTAGTTGGATCCCTGCCATTCTGACAGGAAACTGGATTGAGTCTAGGCCCTTGGCTTCAGCCTGATCTAGCCCTGGCTGTTACTGGCATTTCTAGAATGAACCTACAGATGGAAGATCTCTGTCTCTGTTTTTCTCTCTCGCTCTTAGATGAATTAAAAAAATAAAAATTTAAAAAATCCCTGAGGCTTTCAGCCATATCAGGTATGTCCTATGACAACCACTGATTTACTTACTCACTGCTCAGATAACCAAGGTCTTACAAAGTATAAGGACCAAGTGAACTTAGGGGACTCACGAGGAAGAAAACTATTCAACAAGCAATGAACTTGTCCCTTGTTTTACAGCTTTGATGAAATTCAGATAGATCCAGCAAACTCTTATTTTTGTACTTTACTAATAAAGTATTAAACACTCAGGTGTTTGCAGAAAATGAAATGGAGGTTAGATTTGGAGCTGAAATTCTTGAGATTGAATCTTGATTTTGCCACTACCTTTGGGCAGGATCTCAACAGGTGCTCATGAAATGAACAAATCGATTGAGAAATGAGTGCATTTACTCAAATGGGCAAGGCAGGAATGACTGTTGACAGCTCAAGAGAACCCATGTGTGGAATGAATGAGTCAACAGGGTACTTGAAGGCTGGCTGTTACTGCACCTACTGTTGTTCTGTGATGGGAAATTAGAGGGAACCAAATGTCCTAGTGAAGTACCCAGATATTCTCAGGACCCAACACAGTCCTTTCTCAAGGTCTTTCCCATTTGAGAACACTTTCACTCCGAGAAGGCTGGCGTGTCTGCCATCTGGTGGCCAGAGGCAGAGTTAGCACCATCTGCGCACAGAGGTTCTTTTCAGTCCTAAAACAAGGTGGACCTCACATCTGCTGCTTTTGAGGGGAGCAATGTGGTGAGGTGCAGTGTCTGGTGGATTTACAAGGAATTTTGTGTACT